CGTGGGGCACGCTGCGTGGGGCACGGTGCCACAGCCCCCAGCCCCATCTCGGCTGCTCAGGACATCAGCCACCACACCAACAGCGCCCAAGGCCGCTGGGCTCCCTCCATTGGGACTGTCTTTTCTGTCCCAGACACCCGCCCCCTCTCTCATGGTTGTGTAGAGGCCTAGCTGTGCTCCCTTGGCTTTTGCTCCTGCCTGTTGTACCCTCCTGCGGCCCATACTTGCCCTCCAGTGCCTCTGTCCCAGGAGCTGCTGGCCATGGCTGGGCACCCAGGCACAGCGCCTCATCCCTTGGGCACCCTCTCTCCTTCCCCGTTCCATAGCTCTGCAGTCTCCTCCTCAAACACTCACACCCCGTGATGTTTCCAGAGAGCTCCAGTCTCCTGCCCAGGTGCTGCTCTCCCAGGTGCCACCTCTGCACCAGACTCCATCCCCTTCCCTCCCCCCTTTCCTTTGGGATCCTCTTCCGCCGTGGCGCTCTCCTCAGGTGCGGATTCCTCCTCTGCACGCCGATCCACCGCCCGCACCACAGCCACCGCGTCTTCCCTGGGCAGCACATCTCCCGCCCGTGCCACTTCTGTCGCTTCGGTGCGAATGTCTCCTTCCTCAGCGAAGAGATCTTCCTTCCCAGGCACATGCCTCTCCCGTACCAGCTGCCCTTTTCCTGCCACTTGTTCTGCTGCCTTCTGCACGCCAAATACTCCTGTTCCTCCTGCCAAGAGAGCTCCGCCTGGTGCTTTTAGGAAACAACCCAAACAGCAGTTTTGTTGGGAACTGTTAGTGTTAAGGCTGCGTTACAGGGTTACTGCAGAAGCTGTGACTCCCAAGGAACGGAGGGACACCGGCATGGGGACAAGAAGAAAACTCGCTGTGCCGCTTCTCATCGCGTAGCTGCGCTCTGACTGTGCTTCAAGCGCTGCCAGTCCGGCGTCTGGCGTAACTCACTTCAGCAAAGACACTGATGCATGACCAGCTTCCAAGCCTGGGAGTTCTGCCTGCCCTGGCTACTCTCGCTCCATCCCTCACCGGCCTTGCCGGAGCTCGGGCGTGTGTGAAGTAGCTGTGAGCTTGGCAGGAACACTCAAACACTCAGGGGCAGGTGGTGAATTGCCACCAGAGTGCGCCTGTTTGGAACCACGGCCCGTCGGGTGCAGCTCTGCAACAGCTGCCTGCTGGTGTTGGGCTCTGGCTGTTCCTGCGAGCCTGACGGATTCCCGCTGCTGCTGGATGGTGCCCGCGGTCCTGTTTCTGACTGCTCCTCTGCAGCTGGGAACCACCAGGTCTGTGACCGAAAGGCAGCAACCCAGGCAATGGCTCGTACTCCGCGCTGATGTCAAGCGTAACTTTTATGGAGCCAATCCCAGCACTTCGGGATCTTGTCCCTGTGTGTGACCCGAGGCAGGACACTGGTCACCAGTCTGCAGTGGAGGTGCTGCAGAGACACTGCAGAGCGCCCTGGCTCCATCCTCACCCCACAGCCCGTCACCGCGGCGGCCTCACCAAAACGGCGGGTACACTGGGCTGTGAACTGCCCCACCGCACCCCCCCACGCTCCCTGTGCCACCCTTCCTTCTGCTGCCCGCTAACGGGATGGACACAGCAGCCACGGAGTTTCTGGCACCTTCTGCACAGCCCTGCAAGAACAAGCTGGGTCAGGAGGCACCCCCAGAGATCGTCCTGCCCAGCCCCTGGCTCCGGGGTGTCTCAGCAGTGTATCCCATGGTGCTGCAGCACTGAAAGTCGGGAAAGCACACGGGACCCCACGATCCCAGTGGAGAGGGGACGCCTTTAATGACCAGAGAGCACAGGCAGCAGTTACTTTGGGCAAAACAACACAAACAAAGAGCAGCTGCTTTTCAGGCCAATCCCTCTCTCGTTCCAGGGACACGTGCAGTAGCGATTGCTGCGCCGTGGCAGCTGCACTTTGAACCACAAACCCTGCCTGCGCGTGCAAAGGCCAGCACTGACGTGAGAGCCTGTGCTGCTTCCCTGACCCACGGCAGCACCCAGCGCACTGCCACTGGGGCCACTGCGTCAGCAGCCCCACGCGGTTACATCCGGGCAGGTTACTCAAATCAACACCCTGATGGGATTATCCTGCCTAATTCAGCTGTGATCCTCATTCTCATCCAGCTGTGATCCTCATCCTCTTCCTTCACCCCTCTCTGCTCCGCCAAGGGGACAGCATGGCCAGAGGAGCTGGACCATGGACTTGCTCAGCTGAGGGATTCTCTGGGTGGGTGGCTTGCACAGACCCGAGATCAGCCAGAAACGTGACCGGTAACAGCTCCAAGAGATTCAGCCGCAGCAGCCAAGGAAGCTACCGAGAGAAGGTGACTGTGTCCCCCCGACATCAGCG